TCATCTAGTCCACATGGTCATGCAAAGAAGAGGCAGGCAGCAGGAAAACAGGCACTGGTGGTAAGAGGCAGCAGGGATCCGGGGCCGTGGCTCCACAGGCCAGTGCTCACCAGGTTGGGAGCGGGGAGGAGGAGAAGGAGGCCTGGCACTCAGACTCTCTTTCAGGGAGATTTAGGATGCAGCTTCTTACACCCTTTCCCTGGTAGCAGTGCAGGGGCCTGCCCAGGCACATCCCCTCTGCCTGATGGGGTGGGGGGAAGCCCTGCTGAGGTATCTGTTCCCCTATCTGTGGATATGCAGGGCTCTAGCCATCAGCACAGACTCTGCTTCCATGCCAGATATTCAGCTGGTGTAAACTGAAACGTTCTGTTGACTTCAGTGCTACCAATTTACAACAGTCAAAGGGGCTATGTTGTTTTACATCAGCTTATGATCTGGTTCAAATCTCAAGGTTGAAAGACAGGCTAGGATTCTTTTTCTCCCCTTTGATTGTTTATACTTTGAGTCTTTGCTGAGTTGAAAGTGACAGCTTTTAATAAAGATATAACTCTGTGTGTCGGGATGCTACACTTAACAATTTTCCCTGGAGTTAATGAGGTTTGATTGGCTGGGTTTTTTGTTTGTTTGTTTTTACGGCAGTCAGAAGTTTCCTCTCTCATAGCTCATCCAGTCATTGTGGAGAAGTGTAGTGGTCTAAGCTTCAAATCTGAAACAGGAATGTTGTTTCTATGCTAGACATTTTTGACCCCCCCAAAAAAAGGAAGTTTTCCACCATTACTAATAACTGGTTCAGTGGCACCAGTTATCTCAAAAGGATCATAAGCGTAGACAAGACAGGAGGTGGTCACTGGCATTTTAACCACATTGGTCACCTCACCCTCTCTAGCAAATCTGAACAACGTGGTCAGGTTGGGGTGCATGTGCATGTGTGCGCATGCTCAGGGCATGAAAGCTCCCCTTGTGGTCCCCCAAGTAAGCATGCTCCGGCCAGCCAGGGGAAGGCAGGAGCAGCACGCTGCGAAGTCTCCCTCCCCCATGCTCTGACCAGCTGGGCGAAGTTTGGGGCTGATCTTCCTACTTACTTGAGGGACCATGATGGGTGCATTCACACCCTTGCATTCTGTATTTACCACAAAAAAAAAAAGCACACTCACCCAGAAATTCCTGTGTACAGGCATTATAGTGGTTAAAATATCAATGGCTACACCCTGTCTGCATTTCCTTACTGATGGGACTGGTGACGCTGAAGAACAGCTACACATTGTTGGTGGCAAACCCTACTGCATACGAAGCCCAGACACCATGAAACCATGAGTTCAGGGCTTGGTATGGTCAGCTCAGTCCTGTTTCTTTAGGAAGTATATAGCTTAAGAACGTAAGAATGGCCTTACTGGGTCAGACCAAAGCTCCATCTAGCCCAGTATCCTGTCTTCCAACAGTGGCCAATGCCAGATCCTCCAGAGAGCGAACAGAACTGGGAATCATCAAGTGATACCTCTCCTGTCATCCATTCGCAGCCTCTGACAGAGGCTAGGGACACCATTCCCACGCATCCTAGCTAATAGCCACTGATAGACCTAACCTCCATGAATCTAACTACTTCTTCCTTGAATCCTGAAAAAGTCCTGGTCTTCACAACCTCCTCTGGCAAGGAGTTCCACAGGCCGACTATGCGCTGCATGAAGAAAAACTGCTTGGTTTATTTTAAACCTGCTATATATTAATTTCATTTGGTGACCCCTCATTCTTATATTGTGGGAAGAAGTGAATAACTTTTCCTTATTCACTTTTTTCACATCAGTCATGATTTTATAGACCTCTATCATATTCCCCCTCAGTCTCCTCTTTTCTAGGCTGAAAAGTCCCAGTCTTTTTTAATCTCTCTTCATATGGGACTTGTTCCAAACCCCTAATAATTTTTCTTGCCCTTTTTCTGAACCTTTTCCAATGCCAATATATCTTTTTTTGAGATGAGGCGATCACATCAGTACGCAGTATTCAAGGTGTGGGTGTATCATGGTTTTATATAGCAGCAATAAGATGTTCTCTGTCTTATTTTCTGTCCCTTTTTTAATGATTCCTAACATTCTGTTTGTTTTTTTGACTGCCTCTGCACATTGAGTGGATGTTTTCAGAATATCATGAAAACAACTTGGCTACGTCTACACTGGCCCCTTCTTCGGAATAGCCATGCTAATTTAGAACTTTGGAAAAGGGAAATAAGAGATCCTCCGGAATAGGGCTTTATTCTGGAGGATCGTGCCAGTCTGGACGCTCTTTTCCGGCTTTTCCCCAAGCCGGAAAAAAAGCATCGGCCATGTTTATTTAAATCCCGCGGGGGATATTTAAATCCCCCGTGCATTTCCCTATTCCAAAGTTCTAAATTAGCATGGCTATTCCGAAGAAGGGGCCAGTGTAGACACAGCCCTAGAGTATCATGAAGCCTGTTGTGCAAGTCATTTGGATGCAACCTTAAAACGATCTCTTGTCTGCTCTGTGTAAAGCCTTTTTTATGGGGCTAGGGCTTTGTCCCAAAATCTGTGATCAGAACTTCTTTTCTTTTTACTATATTGCAGTAGGACTTGTGCCAGTTGGGTACCTTTTTCCCCACCCACAGCTATAAAGTTGCAAAGTGTGTTAGGATATTTTAGGATCAAAGGCACCAACAAGTTTACCTATAACAATCGTTCTCTACATATGTGATAATTATTACAGACATGTTCTTGTATCCTCCTTGCTAGAGTTAGGGGAAAAAGTACATATGTACTTAGTGAATCAGTGAACTCATTCCAGCACTAATTTCATATAGAAACAGATATCAAAAGTGGAGGGATAACACTATAACTGCAGCACTACCTTTAGAGAACCAGAGGTACAAGAGGTAATTTTCTTTCATGGCATCCAACCTAAATTTACATTCTGCTAATTTATTTTGAAACTATTGGCAGCATGTCTTAGAACTAGAGACAACTTGAACCTTTTCTTATTGCTACTGAAACCAGTAGAACATGAAAGCTGCTTTCCTTTGGTTTTCTAAAGGCTTCAGGAAGTAGTCACTCCACCAAAAGAGACTGGATTATGAGCTAACATGAGCATCAGTCAGTCATATTATCACTTATCAAATGCTCTACTCAAGCAAATAACGTAGATTCTTTGTGTTTCCTTTCTAAGTGTTGATTTGATCTAGGAGGTTTCTGGAGTATGATCAATTATCAATAAAACATGTTCAACTGTATGGTAGCACTGATTAATTTACACTTTGGATACATAGTGAGATGTGAGGTGAAGTCAGGTGTCTATAAAGGGACTCACTAAGTGCATTAGCCAGTTGTCTGCTAATATGCATAGTATGTTGCAGTGGAACACTGCAGTGCTATCAAGCAGCTACATCCTGACATCAATAGAATTCAGAAGCACAGCAGGTGGAGTGGAGGACCAGCAGTAAAGCTGTTTGATAAGTCCACTGAACGGCTTGGAGAGTCTCTTGGGAGTGGGAAGAGGATTGCTAGTTTGTGCCTTTGCTCTGAAGTGTCCACAGTTATCATGGTCATTGCACAGCAAAGACATATTTTAACTTTGTTATCATTATTAATATACTTATATTTCCATACATGTATGAACAAATCTTACTCATAACCTGAATTTGTTATCTTTAAAGGATCCAGCTTGGTTGGCCAGCCTTTTAGTTGTATCTTTATTTTGTTAAAAAATTCCCAAACGGGAAACACTATATTAAAGAAACTGTTTGATTCTGATATAAAGCGATCAGAGGGGTAGCCATGTTAGTCTGAATCTGCGAAAGCCACGAGGAGTCCTGTGGCACCTTATAGACTAACAGATTTATTGGAGCATCAGCTTTCGTGGGCAAAGACCCACTTTGTCAGATGCATATAAAGCTGTCTGCCATGGTTTCCAATGAAAGGGCTTCCCATACTTGATTTCTTCAGCTCGCTAATATTGGGGTATCTGCCCTTTTCCAAAATACCTGTAATTATATTTTACTAGAAAAGAATAACTGTGTATTACTATTCATGTTTAGATTTATCTAGTGGCTATTTCCCGTCTTTTGTTGTTTTACAATATTTCAGTCCCGACCAAAATATGGTTTATTTTTTAGGGCTTCTACACTCACCTTTCATTATCTAATCAGGTAAAAAATGTTTAATTAAAAAAAAGTCAATTAGCGATCTCTTAATGTTTTCAGTTTTATACTAGTCCATACTGAATTAAGACACTGTCAAGGGAGGGCATTTGGATGTATGATGTTCCTGTGGCTATGAAAAGCTTTTCAGATTCAAAAGCAGAATTATTTTGGTTTGTTTATTTAATAGCTGCAGGTTCACACAAGAGCTCCTTGCTGAATTGTAACCAGCTCATCTTATCAATTATGGATAAGAATAAGGGCCAAATTCTGACCTTGAATGTGTGTATGTAACTCTAGTGGGAACTGTATGTGTCATCTAAGGGCAGAATTAGAAGTGTGTGGGGATAGAAAAGGATTGGAAGACAAGACAGAATGGGACAGATTGAAAAAAAAATTCCAGAAAGTAGAAGACATTCTAGAAAGTTGATGACAAGACTGGGAGCATCAGAAGGTGATGAGTGAGGAGAAAAATGACATGACGAATATACAGTAAAACTATTAGCAAACATACAGGAAAGGTATTAGAAGTATTGATAACATTTTATTTTGGGCTTGTCAGTAAGGTTTGTAAACCTTTATTGTGTTTATACTGCTGATTTATTCATATGTGCCAAACACATTTAAATACAGTCTTCGTTTGGAATGAAATGAAATTAACAGCTATTAAAATACATTTGAATCTGTACAGCAGTGCTAACTACCTACATAGCAATATGATTCACTGAACCATTAACATTTTGTTTTATAAGTAATTATTATTAGACCTGTTTTGCATTCACCCAGAAGTGGAAATTAACACTATACTTGAGAACGTTTCTTGACCAGCTTTTATTGTTTTAATATGCCTTTCCGGTAGGTCTCTATGAAGAGATCCGTCAGTTTCGTCAGGCCTGTGGAGATGCACATTTGAAAACAATCTTGGGAACAGGAGAGCTGGGATCACTTACCAATGTCTACAAAGCCAGCATGGTAGCTATGATGGCAGGTAAATATATGCATTTGGAATCATTCTGTAGGTAATGCAGCTGCAAAAATCTGAATTTTAAATTAGAGGCTTGACACTTGTATGTTAAATAATTACAATAAGCAAAAATGTGATCCAGTAACCAAAGGTGCAGTAACTTTTAGTTCACTGTAGAAGCACCCACACAGGATGTTACTGCATAGAAATTTGGTACACAATGTCTTGCCATGCCCTAGCTTCCTATGTAGACTAGCCTTAAGTTGGGCAATGTTAAGAGAGCCATCCCAACGCATATACACCAGTTAAACCCTGAGAATGCTTCACTTCAAGGACTGCTGCTCTACTCTGCACTGATTAGGCCTCAATTAGAGTATTGTGTCCAGTTCTGGACACCACATTTCAAGAATGATGTGGAAAAATTGGAGAAGAGCAACAAAAATGATTAAAGGTCTAGAAAACATGAGCTACGAGGGAAGACTGGGAGAAATGGGCTTGTTTACTTTGGAAAAGAGAAGACTGAGAGGAGACATGATAGCAGTTTTCAAGTATTTAAAAGGGTGTCACAAAGAGGAGGGAGAAAATTTGTTCTCCTTGGCCTCTGAGGATAGAACAAGAAGCAATGGGCTTAAATTGCAGCAAGGGAGGTTTAGCTTGGACATTAGGAAAAACTTCCTAACTGTCAGGGTGGTTAAACACTGGAATAAATTGCCTAGGGAGGTTGTGGAATCTCCATCGTTGCATATATTTAAGAGCAGGTTAGATAGACATCTATCAGGGATGGTCTAGATGATGCTTGGTCCAACCAGGAGGGCAGGGGACTGGACTTGATGATCTCTCTTCCAGGCCAAGTATTCTATGATCCTATTATTCAATGGTGAATTTCATCTTAAATACACAGTTCTATATTTGAACAGATATGGGATAAACAGTGCTAATCAAATGAGATTTCATGAGCAGTCCCATTGATGTTGGAGTAATGTGGCCTGATGAATAGCTCACAGGACCGGCATTCGAGAGACTCTGGTTCTACTTCTATCTTTTACACTGACCTTTGGCAACTCACTTTGCCTCTTTGCCTCAGTTTGTCCATCTGGAGACACTAATGCAGACCTCCCTTGTAAAGTGCTTTGAGATCTAATAAGCGCTATTTAAGAAACTATAAAGGATATAGAATTATTATATGGGACTAATTAATGTAACTGGTCTTTGATACAAATAAGGATTGTACGGTGCAGCCCAAGGTAAACTAAAATTGTTCTCCCATATATACTTTCTGGAAAATTAATAATGTTTACACATATTTTTCATCCATATTATGACTGGTCCAAATGTTTTGAATTCTGAAATGTTGATGAAAAGCTTTGTTGACATTCGAAATGTAAATGAAACTTACTATTTTACTGTAAGTGCTTCAGAGGAAGGAGTGTCTTTTACTATGGGTTTGTACTGTGAGTAGAACGATGGGGCAAAATCTCAACTGGGGCCTCTAGGAGCTGCTATAAGTGCAAATCAATAAAAATACAGGAAAAAAGTTTTACTAAACTTTTGCAAACTAGTCTTTCCATTTTGTGACCAACTCAAATATAAACATAATTTTATACACAACAAGTGACGTATCTTCTTATCTGCAATGTTAATAGTTACTGGCAAAGATGATGGAATAGTTTGTATACTGGGAGTGCTGCAAGCCTTTGGACCAAATGGTATACCCTTTCTATGAAGGAAAACACTTCAAGCCAAGAGATGCAGCAGCACCTGCAATACTCCTAGTTCCATAATGAGCTCTGATAACAGAACTTATAGTGCACTGTAGCAGTGTGCATAGAGGATGTTACTGTGTGGCAAGCTGGTGTGCTGTGTACTCACACCCGACAGGATAAGCCCTTATAAGAATGCATAATAGAAATCTGTAGAGGAAAAACTCAGGACTAGAATACTGTCAGATCAATGAAAACTGAAAACATATCCAGGAAATACTTACTAGATTTTATTCATATGATAATTCTTTTAGAGATGTACACTGAGAGTAAAGAATGTCTTTGATTTATTTTATAAGTAAAACTATGTTACTGTAACTGTTATAGGAATTACAGATAAGATTCACTAGTATTTGTGGGCAAATAGCTAAAAAAGGACAAGGCCCTCTGCATTTTCAGGGAGCAAATTATGTCTACTAGTGCATCCCATCCTCATTGAATCTGAATAGGGATGCACACATTGCGGGGGAAAGGAATCTTTGTCCAAGCAATTCCAAAATGCATTCAGATAAATATCCAATTTGGATTCTGTCACTTTACTATTTTAAATACATTGAAAAAAGCCTAGAAAGAGTGATCTGGGCAACTCCCATTTCCACCTTCATGTCTACTTTCATGTAGAAAATGACAGTTCCATAAAACAGTTACCTTCCCAAATCACATATGTTGATACTGCACACGCAAAATCTTCAGCTTGTAGGAATAGCACATACCAAGTAGGTATTTTAGGGGTAAAATGGTTAGTTAGGTTATAATTGGGACATCCGGGAAGCAGCAATGTTCTCTATCTGCAGCTAAGAGGCACTCCAAAGTTGTAAAATCTTTCCTGCTTGTTGAAAACATCAAAGAAAATTACTTTTAATCTGTTCCTTAGGACTCAGATAAAAGCTGCAAAGTAAGTGGGAAACAAATACCTCAGCATAAACAGGAAGTGATTTTTTTGAAGTGCTTTAGGGCTTCCTCATACTGTTTGTTTGGTTTGCATTAGTGTAGCTGTGACAAGAGTAGGTGTATGGCAACAGTTCAAGCATTGTTTTGTACAGTGAAATGTATCTGCAGTAGCCCGGTGCAAATTTATTTAGCCTAAACAAGCTTTTAAGGACATAAGGCGGTCTCATAATTAAGACTCAGAACTAGGCATTAACTGACTGGAGTTCTGTTCTTTAAACCCCTTCTGCAAACCCACTTCTTTCACAGCACTGATAAGAAGAGACTTTAATAATTGAATTAAATGGAGGGAACAAGTTTAAATTAGAATCATAGACATTATTCCCACTTCTGGAGTATCCTGTCTTGTTTATGCCCATGTTTACCATGGTAAGTTCTTTGGGACAGAAAATATCTATAATTGTATGTGGGAGAAATCACCAAGGACATTATTGACATAGAAAAAAATACTACTTTAATAAATAATTAATAATGTTCTAACTTTGAAACTTCTTTCCTCTGTGACCTTGAAGAAGTCACTTAATCCCCGCTCTCCCTCAGTTTTTTCCTATGTAATGTAGAGATGATACTTTTCTACCTGGAGGATGTTGAAAGGCTTAAATGATTAGTAATTTTGAAATGTTCAAATAAGTTCAGTGATACAGACTATGCCTGTAAATATGGTTTTTAATCTAGACATCAAAACCATCCTGACAGGTGGTGATCTTGTAACAATTACACTATAATTTAAGTTGATCTGATGATCATTTTGACCTGTTTTGTAATACAGAATAGCTGAAAACCAGAAAGTTGTTTTGGATTATTTTATACATTATCAGATTTGTTTTTACTGGTGTAGTTTTCTTGCAGTACAGCAGATGGCTCTATTGTTAATGATTTTTCTTGCATCATGATTCATTTTGTAGTTATGCTAGCGTCTTTATTTTGGTCTCTTGCTTTCTGTTTGAGGGTGCGTGTGGGAATCTGAACTGATTGGAGAGATGTATCCAAGTGGTCTGGGCCAAATTTGGAAACATTGGGAGCCTAATTTTCAGAGGGAGTTTTGAGTTCGCCATCTACGTAAAGCAGTGTGAACTGCAGGTGTTCAGCACCACTAAAAAATAAGTTGCTGCTGCCCAGATCTTCTCTGGTATTTAGGTGTCTCTTTCCCATTTAAATCAATAGGAGTTAGGCATCTAAATGCCTAGAAGAATCTGAGCCTGTGCACCTAAAGTTAGGTTCATAAATCTCTATTGTCAGGCATCTAACTTCTTTGCAACTAATGTCATGATTTTTGTTTAAAAAGGTGTGCCTAAATGTCAGCTCCTAAATCTTGATTTCAGATCTTCAACATGTATGTGACCTGATTTGAAAATGTACTGAGATTCAAGCAGACCTATGGAGCTAGGTAGTTCCTCCAAGGATGAATTGACACTACATCTTGGATCATGCTAGCAACTATCATATTGCTTGCACACACACAAAAATTGTCATTGAATGATCCTGAGAAAAGTGAGCTTGACAACACACTTTTTGCTATTATGATTGTAGCTCAGTTTCCATGCTTATGACAGATGAGCTTTATTTTTAAGTAAACATTTGTACTGTTGTTGTGATCTGATTATTTTGCTATTAAATATCCATTATTGCCTGAAGCTGATAGTATCGCATCCAGCCCAAAGTGTAAACCTGTGCTCAGATTTTCAAAATTAAGAATGTAGTTACACTCTTAAATCCATATTTAGGCTGGCTAAGAAGTACTCTGATTTGCAAAACCACTGCCGGACCTAGCTGCTCCTATTGATTACAATGCACTTAATTCTTGCTCTCACAATAAGTTTTTCACCACAGAATAAGTCGATAATTTTAAAAGCAATACAGCTGTGGGCTTTGATTTTTTGCAAAACCCTCAGCCTTATTAAATGACTCATAGAAACTGAACTACAGTTCATAGCTTGGGGGAGAATCCCAAGGCTAAGAATAAAAAGAGGCCTTTCTGTGATTTAACTATTAGTATCAGTAATAGTACAGGTTGAACCTCTCTGGTTCAGGACTCTCCGGTCCGGCAACATCCATGATCTGGCTGGACCAGAGAGCCCTAGGAAGCTGGCGGCCGGGAGCAAAAATAGAAGCTCAACAGCTGGGACTGGAAGCTCAACAGTTGGCGGCAAAGCAGGTTCTGTAGATGGACCTTGAGAGAGCATGGAATCTGTCAGCAGAACAGCTGGAATTGACCTTCTCTGGTCTTCCTTTGGGACCTGTCAAGTCCCGAGGGTGCTGGACCAGGGAGGTCCAACCCATAGTAGAAGTATTTGAATAGTGCCTAGTAGCTCCAGT